AAACGCTCCCTGGAGTGCGTTTTGGGTGTCACCACCGGTGGTCCTCGTGGTTCGCGAAAAGGCACACCAGGGCATAGTGAAGAATCCTACCGTCAATTCCATGATTTTCTTAGTGGATTGCTGAAATACAGACCAACAGAACGAATGAGTTGCTCTGATGCGCTGCGGCATCCGTTTATAGAACCGCTCTGGATATCAGACCAGCAACAGCAGCAAATCTCTCGAAAACCACCCCCGCCTCCAAATCCTCCACCATGACAGTTGTAGACCCCCTGTCCAGATAAAATGCATTAACACGGAAGGTCAAGGTTTCTGTGATGAAGTGTCCACTTTCTTTTCGCGTGCTTGTTTTCGCTTTATGTTGTGTGTGTGTTCGTGTGCTTGTTTGTGTGTATATGGAATGAGGGGTCACCCATTGAATGAGCTTTTATAGGTTGAGAGAGAGAGAGAGTTGAGAATGTTATTTTTGCATTGCGGTGCGTAACATTATTTCAATCTCTCTGTCTGTTGTTCTTTGCGGAGCATTGGGTGGAGGAGTTTGGGGAGATCTTCTGTATATGTGTGTGTATATCTCAACTGTGTGGAATTTATTGCAGCACCCCCCGAAAAAAAAAAAAATAATAACCAAATTAAAAAATAATAATATATTATATATAAGGGTGTCTCTCTGCTACCGTGCTTGCATTTTGGTTTTATACCATTTCTCTCATACTTCCCACACCTCACGATGGGTTGCTGCTTATCTGTAGGCTTGTGGAGGGTGGAGGGGGCAGCAAAGCATGACTGCGGCGAAAAAAAAAAAAAAAAAAAAAAAGAAAAACTTCTGAACGAAGGGGGAGGAAGAAGGGGAAATAAAAGAATGAAAAAAAAAACGGGGGAAATTTGTATATTAATTGCCATACATGTTTTCTGTTTTGCTTTGTTTTGTTTTAATGTATGTTTTTATTTTGTGCGCATGGAGATGCACCATAAATGAAAATAGACGAAAGAACTGGAGGATGTGCGTGGCCATGTAAGCACGACAGGGAAGGGGAGCGCACAACAAAATCGACATATGGCGTAAAGAAGATGTGGAAGGTGGATTGGGGGGAGGGGGAAGCTGACATGGCGAGGAAAAACAGATCGGATTTGGGGGGAAATTTATATATAAAGTGGGGAGTTTTTGTGTTGAAATAGAATAAGTATGTGCATATATATATATATATCCTTTATACATGTGTTGTTGCTGTTGTTGTTGTTGTGTGATGGATGGACGGATGGAAGAGAGTTTGTTTTTTGTTTGTTTGTTTTTTGTTTCTTACCAGGGCTTTGGGATATTTCACACCAGCTGTAGGCTGAAGGGAGAATGAGGTGAACACACACACGAAAAAAAAAAAAAAAAAAAAAAGAAGGAAATGTCTATGCAATGGAGAGTTTCTTGCCGTGTGTGTTGATCTCGTGGTCACGGTGGAGGGGATATCGCTTCCGGTAAATCAGTAAGCGGGGGACATCCACCGTCTGAATTGAGGTCCGCGTTCGTATATATATATATGCGGGCAGTGCAATTCAATGCGGCCCTGCGTTGTGAGGGTCTTCAATGAAGTCTATTCGTTGCACACCAATCATGAAATCGCTGCGGAACCCCAAAGTTGCATTGCGAACAAAGGCCGGGGAGGAGGAAATGGGTTGACATTCCTTGACAAAAGAAGGGATTGTGAAACGCATGTATCATACGCTGGCAGATGCATACGTATCTGAATCCATTTATCATTTCGTATATATATATATATATAAGAATGGATTTGTGCCATGCGGGGGGGAGAGTGAGAGACGAAACGAGAAGTCAATTCGAAGAAAAAAATGTTTTTGTGTGTGTGTGTTTGTTTGTAGTCTTTTTTTTTTTTTAATTTTTTTTTTTTACATTATTCTTGTATGTGTCTGCTTTTCCCCATTAGATGTGCAGCCCTGGCCTTTTACATCCGAATTGCAGATGGGGGAAGGCTAAAAGTTGAAAATGCCCTTTGGTGCTGTCCGCATATTCCCTGTTGTTGTTGTTTTTCTTTTTTGCTGCCGCTGTCTGTGCTCGTGCGTGTGTGTGTTCCTGCATCCCTGTGTGCTGTGCGTTTGGGGGGGTGACTGGCTGCGCTTTGAGTGAGGAAGGAGCAACAGCAGCGAAAAGGAGGGGGGGGCTGTAGCGCAGCAAGGAGAAGTGACATTGGCTGCAGGGCATTTTGAATAAATTTGGATATATTTATTTATTTTTAGATTGTGTGTGTATCGGTCTCCGTCTTGTGACCATGCCGAGCAGCAGCAAAAAGAACAGGGGTAAGAATGCCGTCCACAGCAATAATAATAATAATCACTCTGTGAACCATAGAGGCGGCCCCGTAAAGAGCAAAAAGCAGGAGGAGAGTGATGAGTTTGAGAAGGTTCTGGCGGACCTCAGCAGGGCTACAGAGGTTGCAGGCACGAAGAGGGCCAAGATGCTAGAGCGTGATGCTAAGATGCGGGTGGAGCGGGTGGAGAGGTATAAGAACGTCATTGCCGGGAGGGCAAAGGAGGCCGAAATGGAGTTTGACATGATGTTGCGCCGTAAACAGCAGAAGCAGCAGTTCCAGGATCTCCTTCAACAGCTGCTAGCCGCCCAACGTGTGCTCCTGGACGCCCCCAATACCGACTTCCAAGGCGAAACAGTGACGGAAAATCCTCATTTTGACGTAGCGGTAGGGGAGATGCAGGGCTGGCGTGTCAACATGGAGGATGAGCACCTGGTAGATGTCAAATTCCCGAACGATGAGCCCGATAGCAAGGAGGGACTCTTCTGCGTTTTTGATGGCCACTCGGGGAAGGGGTGTGCCAAGAAGTGTCGGGAGTTGATTTCCAAGACAGCGAGGAAATACTGGACGCGTGTGACGGGGGAAAGCGCGAGTTCCACGGTGGACTTTGAGAAAGTGTACCTGGAGGTGGACGGCATTTTAGAGAAAGAGTTGACGGATGGATCAGGTTGCACAGCTGTCACGGTACACGTCACATCCGATGTTATTACCTGCGCCTCTGTCGGAGACTCCCGTGCGGTGCTTTGCCGCAACGGCGCTGCCTTTTACCTTTCGTACGACCACAAACCAGAGAATGCGTTGGAGCGCGAAAGGATCGAGTCTGCAGGAGGTTCTGTCTCGGAGAACCGCGTAAATGGCCAACTTGCGATGAGCCGAGCGATGGGTGATTTCATCTACAAGAATCAAAAGGATCGTGACCCGAGGGAGCAGCATGTCATTGCCGTGCCTGATGTTATCAGCACCCCGCGGGAGGCCGGTGACACATTTGTGGTGTTGGCCTGCGATGGTATTTTTGACGTCCTTGGAAACGATGAACTGGTCGCTTGTGTGCTTTCCAAGAAGCAACAGGGCAAAAGTAACTTGGTGATATGTGAGGATATTTGTCGTGAGTGTTTGGCGCCACCGGCGGAGGGCGGTGGTCGCAGCTCACGCGCCGAGGGCACAGACAACATGACCATCATGATCGTCGATCTTAAGTAAGGCGGAGTAAAAATTAACCAGGCGATTCTATTTTTGTTTTTGTATGTCTCTCTCCGTGCATGTGTGTGTGTGTCTGTCTGTCTGTCTGTCTTTGTGTGTAGAAAAGAAAAAAAAAAGTGAAGATGGGAGAATATTTGGTAAATTTTTAATGACGCAGAAACATTCACTCACCCACGACACTCCACAGCTATGATATTGGAGCAGAGTGAAGGAAAGGAGAGAGGGACGAGGCACCTCGACGCCGCAACGAAGAGGGAGTTGAAAAAGACGGAGAATATGTTATCAAACAGGAAAAAAAAAGGGGGGGGAAAGAAGGTGTACATATTTGTCTGTCTGTGTGTGTGTGCAGACCCATTTATGCTCGTCCACATGTATGTGCACTCGAGAAGTAAAATAATGAGCATGGCGGCAACAACAACAGCAACAACGGGGAATTGGAAAGGGGGGGGGGGGGG